GTCATTTGCCAGTTCTCTCAACTACTCAAAATTTCCGCTACCGTTTCTCCAGAATTGGTGAGAACCCACTGAATACCACCTCTGCCATAAACCATTATAAATGACTGTTATAAGGTCAGAAGCAAGTTTTGTTTCCCTTGTGTTTGTTTTGCTTTTTCATAAAATAGAAACTATTCCTTCCAGTAAACTGCTGAATAGGGCAGTAGGGCACTGACCATATAGATCAGGGATTGCCAGCCTTTTGGACCTCAGGGACCACCAAACTCATAATTTTAAATCCCACAGACCAGAGACCCTGGGAAAATCCCCAAAAAAGTCTGCAAGAAAATTCCCCACCCCATTTTCCTACCAATCAATCCATCTTTATTTGGGATCCTAGGATACCATCTCCAGCTCCGTTCTCAGGGGGAGAGAGAGAGAGAGACTGACTTTTGGCTCCATGCAAGGAAAGCGGCAGAAGCAGCAGAAGTCTTTCTTTCTCTCCCCCAAACTCCGCCAGAAATAAATCTTTGCCGGTGCAGCCTCTTGGAGCAGGTTGCCTTGCAGGCTCCCAAAGACTCATTTCTGGCAGAGTTTGGGGGAGAGAAAGAAAGACTTTTTGCTGCTTTCCTTGCATGCATCCAAAAGCAGCAGAAGAAGAAAGAAGTAGCCAGGTGTTTGGGGTGAGTAGGGCAAGTTCCCCCCCTCTGCCCTTCCCCCCTCCTCACTACTTTGTGCTGTTTGCAACGCAAGTGACGCAAGCCTTGTGTTCCTGCGGGCCATGTGGGCGGCACAGCCTTGTGTTCCCGTGCAGCCTGGATTAATTGCTTGCGGGGGGAGGGACATTTCTCTGCGGACCACCAACATTTTCTTGCAGACCACCAGTGGTCCCTGGCCCACTGGTTGGCGACCACTGATCTAGATGAGCTGGCAAATGGTGAGTGTGGGACTTGTTCTCAGTCCACCTGTATAATAATAATATTTTTTTCATCTATTCTGCCAGACCTCCCATGTGAACATTCTAAATCTTATCAAGGAAAAAAAAAAAATCTTCGGAGGTCAGAGATTTTGTTGCTATGATAGAATCTTCTTAGTCGGCGGGAGGGGGTGGTGGTGGCAAAAACAGACGTTCCCAAAATATTGCAGAACAAGAACAGATGGACATTTTTGTGGCCTCAAATTAGTATAATTAGCATCCTCCCCATTAAATGAAGATTTGATTATAAAGAAGATCAAAGGCATTAGGGAGGCCCTGCCTTAATGTACTTGCTGATAATTGATGGCCAAAACATACATATTCAATTTACAGAGATACTGGAACTTTGCCTTTCCGCCCCCTGCCGCCACCGCAATAAACCTGCCCATTCTTGCTTTCTTGTTGCGAGTCTTCGTAAGAGGGCTTACAGCTGGACTCCAGTTGGCTCACAGCAGAATTGCCCCTCCCGTTTGGCCCTTGTGCTTGGCATGTTCAAGTCCATGTTTGCTGTGGCTGTCAGAGGAATTAGACACCCTACTGGCATAGCCTGTTCTCTCTTTTTTTTAATTCAGGCAGGGGAATACAACAGTTCATTTAGTGACTGTTCAAAAGTTACAACGGCACTGGAAAAAGTGACTTATGACCATTTTTCACACTTCTGACTGTTGCAGTATCCCCGTGATCATGTGATCACAATCTAGATGCTTGACAACTGACTCACATTTATGACAGTCGCAGTGTCCTGGAGTCATGGGGTCCCCTTTTAGGACCTTCTGACAAGCAAAGTCAATGGGGAAACCAGATTCACAACAACCGTGTTATTAATTGAAGAACTGCAGTGATTCATTTAACAAATGTGGCAAAGCTCACTTAATAATTTTTTCACTTAACAACATAAATTTGGGGCTCCGTTGTGGTCATAAGTTGAGGACTATCTGTATTAATCTTATGGAAGGAGAAGGAACCTGCTCTGTGGACAGTTGAATATTTATGATATTTATAGTAATGTGGGACATTTTATTACCAACAGGATGACTCAACTGAGAGGATAGTATTTCTGATCATCACAACTGGCATACCTAACACAGTTCTTCCGGTACAAAGAGGTAGGATTTTCCTTACACGTTATTACAGCATTTACTGCATTAATGTTGCTGTAATTTGCTATCTATAAAAACTAATTGTACAATAATTGTTACTCCACTTAGTAACAATAGCAACTAGTCTTGATTAATGTTGAGATAAGTAGTAATACCCTATACCCTGAAAGTCAGATCAAATTATCCTACTTTTGTTCATTCAGAGATTGTATGCCTTTCTTGGCATAGTTTCACATTGTCTTTTTAGTTTAAATAATTTACCCACTTAATTCCCATTTTGAAATACATTGTACCGCTTCAAAAAAAATGCTTACATATTTTTTCCAGGACGATTAATCCGTTCTGAGCCCGTTAAACTGGCATGCCAGCGGCAGTAAAGTTATTTTACTTTTGGTACAGATGTGAAAAAAAAGGTCAATTTTTTTGAAAATAAAAGCCAGCAGACCTATGAATACATGCTTACTTTAAGCACACCAAAGGTAAACTTGATCATCCCTCCCCTTCCATCAAACTATCTTATATAATCACATGACTAGGTTCATACAACATGCTGAACCCAGATTAAGCAAACATCTTCTGGGTCTGCATTATAAGCTACTTCCAAACGAATACAATATATTAGGGCTTTAATGTACTGTGATGTGTCTATACATACAAAATATCAGAAATATGCAAGCGATTATATTACCTGTGACACTCCAAGGAAGCAAAAGTTGGAATTTAAAGAAGCAATATTGATGCTTTGAAACTTAGTATTGGATAAGACTTCTGAGGATACCATGGACAGCCCAAAACACCCCAAATAAATGGATCATTGAACAGATCATCCCAGAGTTCTCAGTTGAGGCACAAATAATCAGGCTTAAATTATCCTACAGATTGTTCTGTGAAAATCCAGCCCTCTGAAAAAGATTGTAATGTGAAAAAGGTGGAAGGAAAGAGAGGAAGAGAATGATCAGCAACAAGATGGGTGGTCTTGGTTACAGTGGTGATGAGGGTCCTGTTGGGAAACTTGAAAGAATAACTTAGGGATAGATCATCATGGAGAAAATCTATGAGGCTGCTAGGAATCGAAAACAATTTGATGGCAGATAATCAAGCAATCATCAGACAACATCAGGCGGTGGGATTCAGCTGGTTTGGACCGGTTCAGAAGAACCGGATGTTAAATTTAGGTCTAGTTCATTGAACCTGTAGTTGAACCGACCAGCTGGCCCCTCCCACTCCTTCCTGCCCCTCCCAGGAGTCTCCATGCAGCCCGTTTTGAATGCAGAGTGTTAAGTTGTGGGAAAGACGACTCAAGACCAGTTAATCTTTAGTTGCTTTTAATTCTCTCTCTGGAACTGAACAACAGCGGAGCCGCAGCAGCCTCTTTTATAGCGGCTGCTCGCGGCCAATGATAGCTATTCAAGTTTCCCTCCATCCAGCTGGACCAATCAGAATGGAACATTCAAATATTCAAATATACAACACAGATAAGTGCAGGGTCCATGCGGAAGCTCTGGGAGGGTGAAAAATGGGCCTTCCAGAAATCTGGAAATGGGCCTGTTTCCAGCTTCCGGAGGGCCTCCAGACCCTGGGGGGGGGGGCTGTTTTCATCATCCCAGAGGCCTGAAGGAAGCCTCCAGACCCTGGGGAAGGTGAAAAACGGCCCTCCCAGAAGTTCTGGTAGGCCATGGTGGTAGGCTACCATGGCCGCACTCACCAGCAACTGGAAAGTGAACCAGTGGCTGGGATTTTTGAATCCCACCCCTGGACATCATGCTATGTTGTCAATTGCTGGATTTATGTAATTTTCTGGATCACACATCACCCAGCCTTCTTCCATTGACAGCTAGCTTTTGCCATTGACATGACAAGAATGCACTTTGAGTATTCCTCCTGATTCTGTGGAACTGAAAAAGATTAGAATATACTTTTCTCCGTTGATTGTTGAAGGTAATAGGCTGACTCTGCAAACCGCTCACAGAGGGCTATAAAGCATTGTGAAGCAGTATATAAGTCTAAGAGCTATCGCTAGTCTATCCTAGGAAACTGAGAAAAAAAGCCAAACTTCCATTATTTTTTTCCTGCCAGTTAGCAGAATTGGACAAATTACTGGGACCTTGCAATATTTTATTAGTATAGCAAATTTACTGTGGTATTTTTTTTGCTTTAGAAGCATTCTCTTGCTTTTCACGTAATTAGCTTGAGTGTCTAAGATAAATCAACTGGTACATTAACTAGAGTAATTTTGTTTTAATTGGGCCTGAATTTCATTTAATACTTTAAGGTTTAAGTTTGCCATTTTAATTACCTTTATTTAAAATGTTTCTTGGGAATACTTTACAGCAAGTAATTAGTTTACAGTTTTTTCTGAAATACAGCACTATAAACATTAAAGCATCAACAGGAAAGGGAGTCACAGATTATTGATAGACTGCAAAAATAGCTGCTAAACACGCTAAACCTTATTTGAAGTAGTTCTATGTTTAGCCAAAATGAACCCATTCCAGCCACACAGAGACTTCCAAGCTTCTTTTATATCCTTTGATAATCATGCTATCAAGACAGGGTAGATCATTTTATGATGAAAAAATAATTAGCAGAATAATAGTAGTAAAAATATGCATAGGCTTGTAACGTTTTGCTTGACGATACTCTGGCTTATAAAAATAAGGAAGCAATCCTTTTAAGCTTGAAAAAAAAATAAGCTTGCATTCGGCACTAAAGAACAAAAGCTGATATTAGACAAGCAAATGATTCTATTTCATATTATGTGCTTTTTCAAAAACCAAGCAAGTCAATAGTAGTTTGCTAGTATCGCATATTAGCACTGCAGTATCTCTGTAAGCCAAAATGTTTTCTGATTTTAGAGAAATACCAGCAGCTTGATGGCTCTAGCTTTATTCAAATGATTTGCCAATCCTGAAGACCAAGTCTTTTTTTTTTCCTTTAATACTCACAGTAGCTGGAACACCATCCAGTTGACGTGCGCCATGATTGGATACCAGAATCCCATTGACGCCAAGCTTTACTGCTTCTCTAGCATCATCAGCTGGGGAAACAAAATGCTGAATTTTTTAAAAGTTGTAGCTATCATTCTGCAAACTCCGACATCCATTAATGCCAGTTTTTTAAAAACAGAAGGCAGCCTGAAAAATGTAATTCAGCCATTTAAATGATCCCCAGAACCAATGCTAAAGCTAAAAAGTAGCCTTGTTGCTAAGTACGAGGCACTGTTCATTCCTTTGAAAGGACAATCCACAGCACCTCTTTTGCTGGACCGATAAGCAGGGATAGGCAATGCCTGTTGCACACAGACCATGGGTTGATCTGTGCCAGGCCTGTTTTGGGTGGTTGGGTCCATATATGGGACAGAACAGGCTTCTTGTTTTAGTTTTAGTTTTAGTTATAAACTTAAACATAGAAGCAGTAGAAGGGGCAGTAGTGGGAAGGGACAAGGGAGGGAAATTAAGATGCCCCCCAAAATGTGTGGTTGGCCATTGAGGGAGACATGCCACACTGAAACATCAACAGTGGTGGAGGGGAGGGGAGGAAAGGGAAAGGGCTGAGTAGATGGGGTGGATGGGTGGTCCAGTACAAAGCCATTCAGAAGAAAGAGAAGAGGGACCGATGTGCACCAGTTTTGTTTTCCCCACCCTGGGAAAATCACTCTGAGATCCTTCCAGATTTTGTTTCGGCTTTGTTCCTGTTGAATTCAACCAATCTAAACAGTTTGGCAGAATTTCTGGAATGTGGCAATGTGTTTCCACTTCAAAACAAAACTTAGCTTCCATGTTGTGCACATTTCTTTTGATAAATATTCATCCTCCTAATCAACTCAAAACCATCCCTCCAGTTGAGAGACTTGTTGCAGACCACATTTAATTATTTCAATAATTATTTATACTAATGATTACATCAATTACTTCATGTTGCTTAAATGACTTCATTATCCCAAAGAAAACAAAGTAGACTTAATCATTCTATATATTATAGGCGAGCCAGCACAAAAGGACATGTACCTATAAAGAATTAAATATATTATTTTTATATTTATTTTATTATATCTATATAAACCAGATCCTGAAGAGTTGTAAGAAATTTATATCAGTACAACTTTATTTTAGGAAATGTTCATATACACATACATGCAGAAAATGATAGAAAACATGATAAAACAACTCCAAAACAAGATCACAAGCAAATTTATGTCAAATAAGCGTAAGGATACCATTTTATTCTCTAATCCTATTAGCCAGTATACAAAATGTAATTTATTTGTGGATTTGAATTGGCAAACAAATAAGGGGGGATTGTGACATGACATATTCCCAGTAATGTGAAAAATTGCAGGAAGGCCAGGAAAAGATTGGAAAAGTTGTCATATTTTGTGTCTTGATGGCTGATGATAACTTTCTAATTCATTTCCTGATCTTCCGGCAGCTTATCTCAAATTTAGCCCAGGTGGAAAGAAGTCTGGGAAGAAACTTTTCAAATCATTTAAAGAGATCTTGACTTAATTAAATCAGAATGGGAAATTCTTACACTTTCCAAGATTCTGAATTTATTCCAAACATCTCACTAGCATGTTGCTTTCTTGATCTTGTCCGTTTAAGCAGGCTTTGTGAAATATATTCTTTCCCAAGGAGTTTATTGTACCAGAGATCAGCATACACTTACACTGATGTACAAATTGACATATTGACATTCTCAGTATCAAAAGAGCCCTTACAGTAAGAGAAACATGTTGAGACATACAGTCTATGTGACTGATAGATTTACCTTACTGAAATCATACATTAAATTCCCTAGATAGAACCCCTATGTCAAAATCAAGGCCTGGGGGCTGGATCTGGCCTGCGGGGGGCTTAGATCTGCGGGGCCGCCCTGGAAATAGTGAAGGACAAGCCCGTAGTGCCTCTGCCAGTGAAAATGGAGCTTGCGAGGGGTGTACATGGCCCTCCCAAGCTCCATTTTCACTGGCAGAGGGTTGCAGGAGGCCATCATAGCCAAAAATGGAGTTCAGGAGCCTATTTTCGCTGGCAGAGCACTTGGGCCACTAGAGGTGCCCCCAACATGAGTGATGTCATGCTGGCAATGCCCAGCCTGGCCATGCCCAACCCCCTCCAGATCAAACACAGCTCTAATGCGGCCCTCAATAAAATTGAGTTTGACACTCCTGCTCTAGTTTAAACAAAACGCCTAAGCTTCATATAATAGTTAAACTGTTATTTTATCTGAAATTCCTAGCACTAATTTTTAATCCTTTGGGCCTGACTTGCACTCTAGCAGTTAACACCTTTACTTCTCTTATTAGCAACTTAGTACCTTTGGTGTGGTCCCTACTTTCTTCTGAGGTTGTACTACTATTTATTTAAAGAATGCGTACTACTTAGGGTCCAAAGTTGAACCCATTAAATCTTTTCCTTTGACACATTGGAAGGACTGTAAAATTGAGAAGATAGGACAGTGCCATATATCTTTATAGAATGCAGACTTAGGAAGATGTTCTATTGGTTTAAACACTCTAGAGAGGTACCCAGGCAAGCTCTCTTCCATCATGGATTTTCCTAGGTTTCCTAAATAGTAAATAGTAACACCTAGTAACACCTAGCACCTAGCAAGGCTCTTTCATATTTAAAACTATAGTATTTGATAAACAATCCATAATCAGCTATCTTTTGAGGAAAAAAAATGATTATATCCAAATTTTTAAAAAAACTTTTTTGAAATTAATATCAGTTGAAAAACTCCCCAGTTTTACTGCAAGGAGGGTCCCTGTAGGAAAATCATAGTACTGGAGTCTTGCCTTCAAACAGCAACTCCGAGAAGTTTGATAGATCTATCAGTATAAAGGGAGCCAAACCTCCAAAGCAGGTTAAATTCAGTTTTAACAAATGCCTAAAAATTATGATTCTTCAAAAGTAGAGCCTCAAGTCACAAAATGACATTGGGAATAGAGTAGCAACTTGAAAGATTGCCCTTTTAAAAAATTGATTGAATTAATTCCAGAAAGTGTAAATAGGGATATGACCTAAGCTGAGCTCCATATAACATTGTGTTACAGCTTTTCTCTTCACATTCAAACATTTTTATGTTTTATTTCATGTGTAATCTAGCCCACCCAACCCTAAAGCAAACAAGCACCTTTTAGAAAACAAATTATAAAATATCAAATATTATTTGCTGTGTATGAAATTATAGTGCCAAAACAGTACAATTTATACCTCAGGAAAACAGCATCAGAAAACACTTTTGCATTTTGCCTGCAAGTATATCATTATTATAATTTGAACTGGAGATACTTTTACACCCATGCTCATATATCCCAAGAAAGAGAAATGGGACCTATTATGATTACTAAATCAGATTACCTACTGATTAAAATTAATTTCCTGCAAGAGAAAGTCCATTTAAAAAACAATCTGTATGTCCCATCTGTATGTCCCGTTCTCTCTTACAGTCAAAGGAGGAAGAGAAAAAGAGAAGAGGGAAGGGAAGATTGGAAAACAAAGCTGAATAGAGAAGAGAAGAGAAGAGAAGAGAAGAGAAGAGAAGAGAAGAGAAG